AACTAATTAACAGAATAGAATTTAATTAATATCTATAATAAAGATGTTTTCTCATTTCTACCATGCTGACTGCTTCCCAGCAAGGCTGTCCAAGAAATATCAGAGAAAAATAAAATTCTCATAGTCCCCCTGACCTACTCCTGGCTGCTTCCCACAGCTTAGGCAGCAAGTCAAGCTCACAAGAGAAGAAACTGGCCTTTAAATAGGGCTATTTCAGTTCAACATCTCCTTCCACTGACGTGGTTTTTGTTCAGACTCCTATGAGTTGGTAGCTCGTTAGCAACCTGTGCAAGAACAGTTTTAAAAACATGTTCATAATTGCCTATAATTAGAAAAACCCAAGTGCTTATTACAGGCAGCTTCACCAGCTGCCCCACACCCCACACCCAGTGTATTCCCAGCACTGCCTGGATCAGAATTTGGCTTTTCCAGCTTTATCAGAGCTCTGGGAGAGCTGACGCTCACTCAAACTCACTAGAGAGGGATGGCTGGCTGGGACATGTCATGAAGTCATCTTATCTTTGAGGAATTGTGGTTTTCTGGCACCTACCTATGCTTTAGTCTAATATAAAACTATTCTCAGCAGCTGTATGGATGGCTCTGTAATTGCAGTCCAAGAGTCCTTGCCAGAACAACACTGCAGATTCCAATTTCTATATGCTGTAGTTATGTTTTCCACAGACAAACCTGCAATGAGAACAAACATTCCTGCTGCAGCTCCAGTTTTAGGCAAGGATGGATCCAGAGGCACTGACTGGGGAAGGAGCAGTGTCCAGTTCACCTATCTATCTATCTATCTCTATATCTATATCATCTAGATAGATGATATATCTATATCTTCTATGTATATAAATATATGTGTTTATATAGTTTAAATTATGGCTTCAGATGGATCAAAAAGTTCATTCTCTGGTCCTTTAATGTAAAAAGAAGCTTTTTTGCTGAACTTTTTAAGCTTTAGACTGTGTGCTGTGAACTTCATGAAGGTAAAGAAATGCACTCTCTTCACTACATTCCCAAAGTCATTTCCATCTAGGAAGTACCAGGTAAAATATGGGACAGAGAATCCCACCAGACCTTCCCAGAGCAGAGGGTGACGTGGTCAAGCTGGCTCACCTGGATTATCCCTGAGAACAGGAGAGCACAGGAATCAGCTGGTGGTACCTGGAAAACTTCCCAGCACTGAACACAGGTGAGGAGGAGACTGGAGCCATGAGAGAAACAGAGAGAAAGCAAGCACATGGGGGGAAGTGCAGCTTCATCCACCAAAACAATCTCCCTGAACCTCAGAGTGTATCTTACAAACTTCAATTCTGTTCTGCCACACCAGTAGGACTCTGCCTTACCATGAAATCATTTGAGTCCCACAGCAGGAGCAGAACTCAGGCCTCTCACCTTCTCAGCACTCCTCCTAACTACAAATTAATTTTTAAAATACCTTACTACCCTCAGGAAATCATGTAACTTTTCCAGTCTTTCATAGCAGCAGTCTAAAATATAACTGGCAAACAATATTAGTGCTTCTATTTTCTTGTATATAAATCAAGGATTATGAAGTCATATCAATTAATGTGGTATTTTAAAAAAGCCATTAGCTCTTTCTTATTTTGACATAGGAGACAGAAACTATTCCTTTCCAGAGCATGTCTGCTTTCAGTCTAATTCATCCAGATGTTAAATACAGTTATGCCTGCCTTTGGGCTGGGGCAGACAGTAATGCAGTATCCAGTCACTACAGAACATTCCACTGGAACAAGAGGAAACCACCAAATATACACAAGAAATAATACATTAGACTGCTCTGGTCCTTTGGCAAATATTGCATTCCAGTATTTTCCCATAACTATTGTTTGGGCAGAATTCATTAGTGTTCATGCTTAATCTCACTAAACATAGCTCTGGTCTCCACAACAAAAAATGAAAACCTGGATTAGTAGTTAAAAATAATCTGGACATATCCAATAGTTACATTAGAGCAGGTTCAGTGGTGGGGTGGGGGTGGCTCAGAATTAGAAAATCAGAAAATGCAGAAATCAAACCCTTGGTCTTCACACAGCATCACAGAATCACAGAATGGTTGGGTTGGAAGGGCCCTTAAGGATCACCCTGTTGCCAATAGTTACATTAGAGCAGGTTCAGTAGTGGGGTGGGGGTGGCTCAGAATTAGAAAATCAGAAAATGCAGAAATCAAACCCTTGGTTTGCACAGAGCATCACAGAATGGCTGGGTTGGAAGGGTCCTTAAGGATCACCCTGTTCTACCCCCTGCCCTGGGCAGGGACACCTTCCCCTAGCCCAGGGTGCTCCAAGCCCCATCCCACCTGGGCCTGGACACTTCCAGGGATGGGGCAGCCACAGCTGCTCTGGGCACCCTGTGCCAGGGCCTCAGCACCTCACAGGAAAGAATTTCTTCTCAGTATCTAAACCAAACCCACCCTCCTCCAGCCTCCCTCCAGACAGCTGCAAGACTGGCAGGAGATGGCAGAGGAAAAATGCTGGGGGAAGCAAAATTTAATTAATTTCTGGGAAAAGGCAGCACTCAGAGGTGTTGTGAGGGACTTTCCCTGAGCAGGTGAGTGCAGCACAGTGAGTCACTCAGAGAGCAGGGGCAGTTTCTGTGAGAGGGTCTGCTGGGTGCACACAAGCAAGGGACCACGGGATTTCCTGTCTGGAGCACTTCATACCACCTAGTCCCCTCCAAACAGAAAGGTGTGAGCTTTTGCAGATCCACCTTTCTGTATTTAACCCATTCTACAGAAGTTCCCCTCCGAGTTCCCAAATCAGTCCTCTGTAACCTGCATTTCAACATTAGCCTCAAACATTGCTTGTGCTGGGGAATCATTAAGTACATTTTGTATCAAAATAGCTATTTCCTCTGTGAAAATGTCTACCTGCCAGACCCTTTACCTGACTCATTTAACACACACCTAGATTTTATTTATTCTAAAAACCCCACATAATCTGCACACTCAAGGTTAGAGCAGAGCTCCTGTGACTGTATTAGACGCAGGTGACACTCCAGAATGTCCATGTCCACTGGTCCCTTATACACCACAACACGCTGATAATTTCAGAATTTTAAAGATAATTTTTCTGTTACAAATTCAATTTTGCCCTCAATTATTTGGTTACATTCACACATTTCCCTATGAAAATGCCACCTTTCACAGTCAGAGATCCCGAGGACAAGCATTGAAGCTCTGGTGGCCTGGCGCAACCATGTGTGCCCAAGACAGCTTCCAGCCCCAAGTTAAACATTTCAAAATGTGGTTTTAATATTTTCCAACAGACATCCTGCCCCATTCTCTGTTCCCAGGCTGGCTGATACAGAGGGTGCCTCAGGTGGGAGCACGTGGAATTTGGCAGCAGATGCCCCTGAGAGCCGAGTCAGCCCTCGGTGGGGAGAAAGGACTGGCAGAGAACACAGCCCCTGCACAGCTGTGTGCCAACATTTCTGCTCTCAGCACCACCCAGCTCGTGCCTGGCCCTGGATGGGCTGATGCACCAGGTTTAGGTCATCCCTCCCCAGCAGGACCACGGGCTCTGCCTGCCCCAGGCTGCCCAGCTGGGATGGCACACTCCTCTTTTGCTGAGACCCCCAAACCCGCTGTGAGCGGTGCCACGGTGCCATGAGCACCCAGACTGGCACCTGTGCCACCTGTGCCACAAGGCACGGCCTAGGGCAGCTCGGGCACCCAAACCACAGATCACACAAACTGCACCAAGCCCTGGGAGGGCCAAGGACACGTGTGGTGTCCCCCAGCTGCTCAGGGAACCCTGCGAGGTAAAGGAAAATCTGCTTGTCAGGAGAGACGAGTGACACCATGCACCGTGGCCCCCAAAGGTCTGCAGCTGGGATCTCACTGAATCCCTCCCCAAACACAGGCACTTAGCCACAGGCTAAGGAGCAGCTACTCAGACCATGGATCAGCAGAATTGTGTTCTCCAGACTTACAGCAAACACAATATAAACACCAAAGTAACCAGAATGTTCTTTTCATTCTTTTCTTGCATAAAGCAAACACCCAAACACACAGCACAGCAACTGCTGAAGGCAATATGTACCAGGTACAGGCATCTACAACACACACACACACAGGCAGACATACACAGACACACACAGAGATGTTGTTTGGTTTTGTTAGAATCACAGAACTACAAAATGCTTTGGGTTAGAAGGTACCTTAAAGATCATTCAGTTCTTAAAGCTCGTCCAGCTCCCCGCTGGCTGCCATGGGCAGGGACACCTTGCACACACCAGGTTACCTGTCAGCTCCAGCTGGATGTTCCCAGTGAGGACACACAGTGCCTATTTTCTACCTCCAATATTCTCTTTATAAAACAGAAGGCGGTGCTCTGGTCCCAGTCCCAGCTGTGCCCGCAGAGATCTCACAGCCAGTAAGGCAGAGCCTGAGCAGGGCACAGCCTGCCGAGCTCTCCACACACTCCGGGTGCCAGAGGCCATTCCCATCCCTCACCTGTGCAGGGCACAGCCTGGGCCATTCCCATCCCTCACCCTGCAGGGCACAGCCTGCGAGCTCCCCACACACTCCGGGTGTCAGAGGCCATTCCCATCTCTCACCTGTGCAGGGCACAGCCTGGGCCATTCCCATCCCTCACCCTGCACAGCCTGCCGAGCTCTCCACACGGTGCCAGAGGCCATTCCCATCCCTCACCTGAGCAGAGCACAGCCTGTCTCCACACACACCGAGTGCCAGAGGCCATTCCCATCTCTCACCCTGCAGGGCACAGCCTGCGAGCTCCCCACACACTCCGGGTGTCAGAGGCCATTCCCATCTCTCACCTGAGCAGGGCACAGCCTGGGCCATTCCCATCCCTCACCCTGCAGGGCACAGCCTGCCGAGCTCTCCACACGGTGCCAGAGGCCATTCCCATCCCTCAGCTGAGCAGGGCACAGCCTGGGCCATTCCCATCCCTCACCCTGCAGGGCACAGCCTGCCGAGCTCCCCACACGCTCGGCCGTCCCCATCTCTCTCTCACCTGTCCCCGCAGGCCCGGCCCGTGCCAGGGGAGGCTGCCGGCCGTGCCGGGTGCCAGCGGCAGGCACTGCCCGCTCTGTGGGCACAGCGGTGACAGAGCAGCAGCAGCAGAGGCAGCGGCCGGGCCGGGCTCTTGCATTATCTCCCGGTCAATCATTAACCACGGCGCTGCTCCCGCCGAGCCCTTGGCTGGCCGCCACCCCTCCCACGTGGGCACCGCTGAAAAATTCCATGGAAATGCTGCCAGGGCCACAGGGGAGAGGCCAGGGGAGCCTCTCCACCCACGGCACTCCTGTGGTCCCACCGGGTGTCCCCGCTCCAGCAGCATCCCCTCTGTCCCCAGCCTCAGGTCACCGCTCACGGGCCAAGGGCCCTTGCTCTGGGGCAGCTGAGAAGCACTGCTAGACAAAAACGAATTAAATCCAACTGAAAGTAGTTAGATTTAATCCAACAAAGGACTTAGAGCTGATTTTCTTAAAAGATTATGTACTGTTTTCTTAGGGGGAGAGAAAAAGGGCTGTACAGTAAAAGTTAATGCAGCTCAAGGCAACTCTGAAACTGTGTTTTATATGCTACAATTTTTGTTTTGTGGTGCTTTTATTTCTAAATATTTTGTTCATGAAAGTGCACAGAAGGCACACAGAAGGCTTTCATCTGTGTTGTGTGACTCTGGATCAACTCAAGCCTCTGCAATAAGTTCTTTCTGCCTCCAAATATTTGTGATGAAGCCTGATATAATTTATAATGGCCTTATTCAGTGAGATGAATTCCCACTAGTTTCCAGATGGGCTTAAAAAATAAGCTGATTTTGTGGCACTATTTTTTCCCTCAAACTAAGCTGGATAATGCCATGCAGGCCAGAGCTCTATGATTTGCTGTGTGCTGTCTCTCCAGGGAACACTGGGCATTCCTTCCACATTTCCCACAAAAATAATCTGCTCACCTGTGGCTGTGCTGTTTTCACACGTTGGGAAGGACAAAAGTGGTCTCCAGTGGGCCACGGGCTGAGCCTTTGGGCTGTGCCAAAACCATCCCAGAGAGCTTGGAACTGCCTTTACTGCAGAGCAGCTGCACAGGACAGGGATCCTTCTGCTGGTAGTCTCAATCCACTTCTCCTGAGCATGAAGAGCCTCTGGTACTATTCACTGATTATTCATTTAATTAATATTTGAGGTTTTTCTGTGAGCAACCACCCAGGCTCCCCTTCAAAGTCCTGTATACAAATAGGCCATCCCACACCTTGGTTTTTTTTCACCAGCACATGTGTTCAGTAACTCCCCAAGTATGGAGAAGGGCTCCTGAGAAGTTACTCAGTAACTAATTCAGTGTTTAGTCATTGCATTTTAATGGTATTTTCACACAGCAGTGGCTTGGTATCTGATCAAATGTTCTGCAATCAGAGGAAAGGGGACATTTCCAGCAGTCTGAGAAACAAGAAGGAAAAAAATCCCGCACTGGGGAGAAAAAGGCAAATCTGAGCAATTCTCCTGCCACGTGATGAGCAGAACTCTGGTTTGGGGCAGAGCTGGCAGCTGCAGTGGTGCCTCCTCTCACAGGAGCTTTTGTACATTCCTTCTGCCAGTGCAACGTTGGTGCAGGTCTTTCACAGAACCACCACTTTGGGACAGTGCTGCAGACAAGCCTGGCCTCAGTCCTGCAGGAACGATGCAGGTTCCAGCCTACCACAGGAGAAAACAGAGGAAGTCAAGGCCATCATTCCACTCTGCACCTCAGAGAGTTAATGCACCAGCTCCTGCCTCTCCCAGGACTGCAACAGCTGAACCCTGCAGCAGTTACTCACTCTGGGGAGTTTGGTTTGGCTCTGGGATTCGTCACACATCTTTGTAAGGTTTGGCCCTTGTATGTATAAGGAGATTTTTAAAGACATTTCAACACATCAGAACTGTCCAGACTTTTCCAGGCACAGCACAGTGCCTGACTCTGTGAGACAGCTGTGCAGACATCCAAGTTCAAGGGTCCTTCAATGAAGTGTCTCTTGTATGTTAATTGGGCATGAACAGCACTCTTACCACACTCTTGTCAGGATAAACCCATTAAAAATTGTGGAATCTTGAAAACAAACACAATCCCTACATAACCTGAGGGGCTGAAAGCCTCTGCAAGGTGCAGAGTGTCAGCAGATCACCTGAAACTCTGCAGAACTGCAAAGCCTTGTGAAAACAGCTCTGTCACCACAGTGTCACCCAACCTGAGCTCTAAACCAGTGGAAATTTCACCAGTAACTCTCACTAATGCACAGCACTGTGAGTGTGATAACAGCATTCACCAATTATAAAATATTCCCAACTATAAATCACACGTTCCAAATGCTCCTGCTCACTTACAAACCAGTTGCCTTGTAATGAAGTTATTAAATGCAGTTCTAGTGGTGTGCATCTCACAGAGGCAAATTGTTCCCAGGCTGGATTCCAGCAGGGCTCTGCAATCACACCTGGAACACTGAGCAGAGCTAACAGGGGGAAGGTGGGAGCTCCTTTAGGGCCCCAAATAAATCCATATGTCACAAGTATTAGCAATTAAACCTTCCCACTGCCTTCACATGAAGTATGGTATATTTGGGCTGAATAATTGCCCTTTGCTCTATCCTTGGATACAATCACAGGGTAAGATGTTTAATGACTAATAATGGCTGAATGAGATGTGATGGGAACATCCCCAGAGAGAAAATTCACAGCTGCTCTTGGCAGTTAAAAACACTGGAACACATTAGTGTCAGAGAACATCACAGAAGCAAGGAAAAACCTCACCCCAGTACCAGCCACGAGTGCTCCACCATCCATTCATCACCACTAGGAAATAACAAAGTATTCTCAGGATATTTACAAATAACAAAGTTTGTTATTTACAAATAACAAAAAACTTATGGTAAGCATAATAAACAGGACCAAGAGTTAGAATAAACAAGGAATTTGATAACAGCAACAGAACTGACGTTCATTTTCCTTGTCCTTTGGTACCTAAACTTTTTGAGTACATTGATGTGTTTTCAAGCTTTTCTTCACGCTCCAAAATATTTACATACATGGCAGATTTCTTAGCTGAAAGCTAAGACTTTCAGGAAAGCCTTGAATTTTTACAGCTGCTGCTTTCAGAGAGGCATAAAATCTCATAACACCCCTGATAACCATGTCAGGGGTTGCCATTGGCACAGCTTTCATTTCTGATCACTGCCACAAAACTGTTTGAGAGTAGAAAAGCAATAATTAGGATTATAGGCCAAAGTTTGCGTCTTAATGCTACTTTACAGGTTTGCTGCCTAATCTGCACTGTGCTGGGATGTGTCCTGCACTCATGTGCAGCTCCTGAAAGCAGGAATTTCCAGTTCTGGATAAAACCTGCAGCCATCAATGCTCAGCACAAGCAGGGCTGATCTCTGCTTCCCCTTTGCTGGCACCCCCCGTTCTGCCACTGCCCCTTGACTGCCAGTGGATAGTGCCAACACCACAGAAACACGTACAGGCAGCAGGGACAGCAGAGAAACTCAACATCAAAATAGTGTCTCATGGCTGTGGCTGGCTCTTCTCTCCAAGAGTCCCAAATACACCAAACCATTGCTGGCTGAGCCCCATAGGCAGGACAAAGTGAACCCAGGGAGGAGCTGTGGGCAGGGCTGGCCAAACCCCCTGAGCCCTCGCGCTGCTCCCAGCACTTCTGCCTTTTGTCCCAGGTGCTGGAAAGTGCAAAGCAACACAAACAGCAAATGCTGCCCCTAAGGCCTGTGGGCAGGGCTGGCCAAACCCCCTGAGCCCTTGGGCTGCTCCCAGCACTTCTGCCTTCCCAGCCTTTTGTCCCAGGTGCTGCAAAGTGCAAAGCAACACAAATAGCAAGTGCTGCCCCTAAGGTTCCCTTCAGCCAGAGGGCTGCTACCTTTCAGGGATATTTTCATTCCTTGGCATCAGCTGGGATACAGATGGCTGTGCAGTTACTCACTACAGAACTAGGTCAGCACTGATATCAAGGAAAAATAAAAATCCTGGGGTTTAGCCACCAAAACCATGCAAGTAACAGCAGCCTAATGGACAAAATAATATCCCTGAGAGATCTCATCAACCCCACTCTTCACAGATGGGGCTGCCCTACCTAGGGACCACACCAGGACAGAGGACTAAGGCAGTGTCATTACCAACACAAATTCATTATTTTTTCACTAGAATCCAATAATTCCTACAGGAGTTAATCCTTCTGCATGACCTTGTAACAGTACATAACCAACGTTTTTTCTACACTGCCTATTATCTGGTTCATTTGTAATAGTTTATAGAAGAAAGGTTGACAAAGTCACGACTATTGTTCTAAGTCATCCTGATTCCATGGATCAAAGACAGGTCCCCGTGTTCCTTCAGTCCCTAGTTTAATACAATGTTCTGCAGCCAAAGCAGCTCAGGGGAGTTTCCTCTCCTCATGCTTCTTCCAAGGCTGGTTTCCCAATTCTCAGCACTATAAGCAGTTACAGGGATCTGGGTTTTTGGCTGCAGCATAGAGCAGGAGGAAGCAGCTGTGTGCTGGGGAAAGCACACATGCAAAAAACTACCTTAAATTGATATGGCTTCTTTTAGTCATGTAAATCTTCAGTAGGAGTTTTGAATGAGTAAGATTACATGATTTGGCCCTGGTGAAATATATAAGGGTAGATTTTTAGGTGGGAACAATCAAAAAAATATCTGGAAGCCTCATTAGAAAAGTAAACAACCAATGTGTTTCCATGTGAAACCATGTTGTGAGCACATTTAAGTACTACACCAGCAGTGTCTGGGCTCTTTGAACCCATAGGAAAACCTTCAGAGAATATCACAGAGCACTGGGACATTTCCCTTTCTGATTCAAGGGGCTGTACCAGCCTGGATAAGTGGTTTTAATTAATTTCACAGTTTTATATTTTTTTTTCCTCAAAGCAGCTGAACTTCATTATATATGGCTTACAGATCACCAGTGATCCCCGGGCCTCAGAGCAGAATCTGCTCAAGCCATTTCAATGGAAATGAGTCCAAGCTGCTGCTGGAAAGGGAGAGATTGCCTTCACCCCTTCTCTGCCCTTCCTCCACACTGGCCCTGCTGCAGCTCTAGAGCTTGAACCCTGCTGAGCTGGTTCAGTGTGCTGATCTG